TTAAATTCTCTATTTTCAGTAGAACTCACTCGAAAATGGACAGAGAGTGCTTCTTTTAAAGAAAAATGTTTTTTTCCCTTCTATGATTCGCATAACAAACGTGTTTTACATAATTAATACTGGGGCACAAACAAGTATCCATCTATATAAAATATCTCTACACAGTTTTACCCGACATAGATATTAAAACAATGAAAGCAGTAGATGTTAGTGATGTTTTATAAGAGCTTGTGGCAATTATTGCACAAAGACGGAGATTTTGTTAAGAAGAGTAGGTTCATGTTCAGGAATGGAAGAATAAACCGCGTATGGATTGCAATAGATGACTTTATTGAACGAACTATGAACGAACAAAACGAACGAACTCTAAAGAAGAGACGTTTCGTCTCCTATTTATATTCTCAAAGTATATTGGCCTTGTTCATGAATGATTACAATAAATATGGCGTTGTACATGATTGGCAAAAAGATAAACGAGCTGATTGGTTGAAATTAAAAGAATCTCATTAGCTGGCTAAATCTCAATCAGAATCCTAAATTGTTATCAAGCTCAATTTTCCGACAAGATTAGGCACATTGTCAATTTCATCGTCGTACATCACTCTGCCGATGTTGACATGTATGCCGGTCGGCTCATCAATACATATGTCTATGAACAATGTACATACATATTTGTACGCTAAAAAAACTGTTGTAATACTAAAACTAGCACACGTATTTACAAATAAAATTTGTCACAAATGAAGCTAAAATTAATTGATGTTTAATTGTTTCAGGGCATGTGGGAAAAGGTAAATGACCTCAAACAAACCAATCCTGACCTGCGTACTCTGATTGCTCTCGGTGGTTGGAGTTTTGGTTCATCACAATTTTCGGCTATGGTGTCCACTCGAACCAATCGACAACACTTTATTTCAACCACCATTAGCTTTTTACGCAATAACAATTTTGATGGATTTGATGTTGATTGGGAATACCCTGGAACACGAGGTAGCCCACCTGAGGACAAACACAGATTCACCTTACTACTACAGGTAAGTTTACTCAAAGCAAACCAGGTTGGTTGTAGATTAATAAATTACAATAAATATTGAAGTAAGGATCATCATGACTAATATCGCACCAGTATTTCTCCCGACTCGGAGAATTGCTAAAATGTGTGGGTCTTAACGTTGAAACGTTGACCATCCAGGCACATCACATATATATTCACTTTACCAAAATAAGTCTAATTGTGATGTATGTTCTTCAAAAAATCATTACATGTTTACATCACTCCCTTTCTATTTAAATATACAACTAACTATCCGACCCTACATAGTATGTATATGTACCAATTTCTTAGAGATATATGGACGAAAACATAATTAAGATAAACATATCTATCCATAGTGTAAGTCGGATTATGATTTATCATAAAGAAAACCTGTTTGCAGGACAGCAGTATTCCTTAGATATGAACATAAAAAAACATTAATTCGTGTGTAATGATTGTTATTGATCGTACCAAAACAACCAGTGAGCATGCGAATTATTGCATGTCATTACTTCATCGAAGAAATACTCAGATGCATGCTACAAGAACAAGGTTTTCAGATCACGATAAATGATAGTCCAGCATATTCATCACCTTTAACATATTGCGTTTTTAAATGATACTTTATATTTTCACTGAACATCCCAAAACTGACCTAAATACTGGAGTTAGTAACAATGTACACCAGTTTGTTTTATCTTGGCCGAACCATAAATGAGAAGGGTAAGGTAGAGGAGGGGGAAGTTTTTGTCCGCGGCGTCTGTCGTCGGTTATGTTAATTCTGGTTTGTTAGTGCAATAAGTCAAAAAATATTTATTCAACTGTTTTTATTTTACTAATTATTCTGATTAAACATAAATACTTGGCCAAGTTCAAAGTTTGTGTGTCTAGCGCTTATATTTTTTCAGATATTGGTAAAAAAGTAGCTTAAAATCTACATTGGTTGTACATGGGACCATCCTCAACTGAGAGATTTGGGTTCAAGCCCAGGACCCGGCTTCATTTTTGGTCCCTCTTTGTTTCTGTTATTTATGTGTTTGTATTTAATTCTTTCGTATAAACAACTGATTCTTCCTATATATATGTTTTTGGCAATGTTTGCTTTTTTTAAGAAATTTAAATCAGGGCTCTCTATTCAAAGTAGTGCATGGCAGATTGCAAGCCTTGTTATTCAATTGTGTGTTTTTTATATATATATATATTCTGATTTAATATAAAATGATTTAATTTTTGTGTTTGCCAGGAATTCAGGCACGCTATTGAATCAGAGACCATACCTGCAGGTAAGGAAAAGCTCCTGCTGACCGCTGCCGTTGCTGCGGGAGAAGAAACCGTTGCCGGTGGTTATGAAATCAATGAAATATCCCAGTGAGTAGCTACACATTTACTATCGTTGAGTGGTTGTGAGCATTATGTTCGGTCTAAAAATAAGGGGTGGGTGGGCTGAGGTATACGAGTAGTTAACGGGCAATTACGGATTGAATACTCACGACTTTTGTTTCAAACATAACATTGTTTTGCTTTTAACCTTCACATAGTCACATAGTATATATCTGGGATCACATAGCATTTATTTGAAATCACATAGTATATATCTGAAATCACATAGTGCTAGTATATATTTGAAATCACGTAGCATATATCTGAAATCACATAGTATATATCTGGAATCACATAGTATATATCTGGAATCACATAGTATATATTTGTAATCACATAGTATATATATATGAAATCACACAGTATATATTTGCAATTACATAGTTTATATTTGTAATCACATAGTATATATCTGGAATCACATAGGATATTATCTATACCTGAAATCACAGTATATATTGAATCACATAGGATATTATCTATACCTGAAATCACAGTATATATTGAATCACATAGTATATATTTGAAATCACATAGTATATATCTGAAATCACATAGTATATATTTGTTATCACATAGTGTATATCTGGAATCACATAGTATATATTTGTAATCGCATAGTATATATCTGGAATCACATAGTATATATTTGTAATCACATAGTATATATCAAAAATCACATAGTATATATCAAAAATCACATACATGTAGTATATATCTGGAATCACATAGTATATATCAAAAATCACATAGTATATATCAAAAATCACATACATGTAGTATATATCTGGAATCACATAGTAAATATTTGAAATCACATAGTATATATTTGAAATCATATAGTATATATTTGAAATCACATATATATATCTGTCTATACATCAATATTAGCTACACTGCTATCATTGTACATGTATGTATAGGTGAGCTGGGTGGTAAATCGGAGACCATGTCGATTTGTAGTGGAGATGTTCCGCAAATAAGAAAAACACAAATAATGTAAATGCTTAATACTGTTTCGGCTAAATTTACCTAAATCGGGAGTCATACGGATGTCGAATATTCAATAACGACGTCTATAATACCACGCTTCTTGATGGATATGAACTCTCACATATTTTGCAGGGTTTTGGACTGGATCGGTGTGATGTCATACGATTTACACGGAGCATGGGATACGACGACAGGACATAATAGCCCCTTACACGCACAGTATGGGGCTACTGGAACTGAGGCAACATTAAATGTGGTATGTCCAAGATGATTGATATTATTATTATTAAATACTGTTATAAAAAGTGATATAGCATTGTGATATTGGCAGAGTAGACTCAATAATGTTAGCGAGCTCTGGACGTAGCGGTTACACCATGTCAATTATCCATGAAAGTTAGAATTATTTTTGTATTTACTTTAGCACATAGCATAATTCTACAATTCAACTTTATCGTCCAGGAATGGGCAGTGAAGAATTGGCTGAATGGTGGTTGTCCGAAAGAAAAGCTACTCGTTGGCATGCCTACATATGGAAGACATTTTAAATTATCCTCATCGAACACCGGAATGGGAGCACCGGTTAGCGGAGCTGGAAGTGCAGGTCCTTATACTGGCGAAGCAGGATTCCTCGCATATTATGAGGTAAACTTAATCGATAAAAACAACATTGTTTAAAGTCTTCCCGTCCATTTTACCATATTAAGTAATCCGCACGTTAGAGAGCGTACAGTCATTATTCGAGCAGTGAAATTCATCTATATAATCCAAATTTAAATTGATTATGGATCAACAATGTGTTTAGACTACACAATCTATTTAATTTGCTATTAGATATGCCAATTGGCGGAGGACGGGGCAACTCGATATTGGGATACCGAGCAAAGCGTGCCATATGCTGTGAATGGAAACGAATGGATAGGCTATGACGACTTGGTTAGCTACAGCGCTAAGGTTTGTATCAAAACAAATACCCAATAATTAACTATCTTCTGTCACTAGAGGGCACGCACAGACCGTTAAAAAGCGGCGGTAATAGTTTTCAACAAAATTGGGCATTTCTTTTCGAAATGAATTTTTACGAGAAACTATAATGTTAGTTTCAAAATATATTTATTTGACGCTTTAGGATTGGTCCAGCTTTCTTTTTGTCTATTTGTTCAGACTGTTTCCCTGTAATGGCGGTATTTCTCCCTTGAAGATTTGTAATATAATGTATATAATTTGATAGCTCAACTGGATCAAACAAGAAAAGTTGGCTGGAACGATGGTATGGGCCATCGACCTGGATGATTTTAATGCCAATTGCCACCAGGGCAGTGCCAAGTATCCCCTGCTAAATCACATAAAAGACGAATTAGTAACTGATCGTCCAGTTACTGAGAAGCCGGTCACGACGACTGAGGAAACTGAGCTGCCACACCAAGACACAGTAACAGCGTACACTACAACACGTCAATCAACTACGATCGCAGAGCATACTGCAACACGAAAACCAACTACAACCACAAAGCACGTCACAACATATGTCGTAACCAAGGAACAAGGTGACACAAATTTACTCCATGCCATAAAACAATTATAAACAGATAATTAATTTGTGAAAATATTTTTATATTCATATTGCATAATTGTTTGAATTTTTTAATAATTAAGTGGTGGATAGTCATTGGTGCTCGGTTTCACGATGGGATCTGATTGGTCTTATATTTAGTTCATTTGCATATCGTTTGCATATAGCTTTAGTTACTTCCATGCTGTGTTCACCTTGGTTACCTATGTGATAACACTCGACTTACCTTAGTTACTCCAATAGTAACAACTGCCATGGTTACTACAAGCAACGTATTATTATCAACCATGGACAGTATCAATACAGCGGCCCCCTGGCTGTCTTTGCCATTAACATGAAAGAAATATCGGCCAATCTGATTGCGTTATTTGCTTTTCCCTCTTTCGTTCCCCCGGTGACCCTGTCCGCTATATGTTATGTAGTTTGCTCTTTCCATTGTTTTTTCCCAAAACTATCTCATCAAAAAATGGCAAATCATAAACGACCCATTTAATTAATCTACAGGAAATTCTGACAACGAAGTCGACTGTTCTCAACTGCCGAGTGGTCTTCACTCACACCCAAGTGACTGTTCGTTATTTATATCGTGCGTAAATGGTAAAGCATATGTCATGTCATGTCTTCCTGGAACTGTATTCAACCCTGCTGGATATTGTGACTGGCCAGACAATGTGCTAGGGTGCTCAGAGTCACGTGAGTAGATTTGTATTGATAGTCATTTAGATCCACACACATGAAAATCATCAAGATCGTTGCCTGACCGCGATCGGTAGTTCGGAGCTCGTGTGCACTATGCTTTTTTACACGCGTTGTATACGTAACGTGAGTCACGTGGGATTAATTATTTTTAGAAATCTGGGTTAAAAAGTGTCAAAAAATGCATTTTTTAACGTTGTGTCCTATTGAATTGTTCTAAAGTAATCATTTTTTTAAATAATAGGAGTTCCTAAAATACGTCACTGTAAAAAACACAGAATTGCTATTCCATGGTGCCGTTTGAATCAAATGAGGGAAATAAATGAAATTAATTTACTAGAAAGAGGGACAGAAAGTCATATGTTCACGTGAATCTTGAATGATCTCGCAATGTGCGAGATTCGAACTTACGGCACGCAACTGCATCCCTTCACTGTGAGCAAATGCGTTCTTCGTTACGCTATAAGCACCGTTTACGTAAACATCATGTGACAAACTGCCAGACCTGGTAAAATGACTAAATCAACGATTTCCAGAAACACTGCAGTACTAACAAAGTAAATTTGACGGCGTTTTATTCATTTTTCAAAGTTGAGGAAACACAGAAAAAGTGTAGCGACTTCTAAACATGAATGATTACATACCATTCAAGGGATAATAACTGACTTTTTACAAATACTGTAAAACCATTTATTTTTACTGACATTTAATTTCATTATTTTGAGCGTATTCACTGTGCAATTAGCACGAATTTGTCAAGGAAACAGTGACTTTTATTGTTATTTTACATGTCACGTAGATTTAATTTAGCGGATTTTACTTATCAGCGAAATTAAAACCCAATGAACAATTAATGCATTTACAGTGAGCTATAGTTCAAGTGCATCTGATAAGAGGTAATTAACAGAATCATTCTCTGAAATACAACCGTAGAATTGTAATATACAATTATAATATTTGTCAAACAAAGGAGCGTGGGTGCTAACAAGGATCAACGCATGCTAGAACAAAACAATTGGTCACGTGACCAATAGTGACATACTTGACGAAAGCACACACACGTGCGTCTTATAAGGAGTATAAAGTGTAACCGAGTCCGTTAATGATTATGGGGAAGTCTCTCAAGTTGCTACATTTGTATGTTGCAATGACGTCAGTACCAGTCAGTCTTCTGCTTTAATGCACAATACTGGCGAAAAATCCGGTGTACGGAATAGTTTCATTGTCACTCATCCCCGTATCTTCATCATTTAAAATATCATGCTTTATATTCATTTTAATCACACTGTGTATTCACATTGCCATTCATACACACAATGAGAACGATACTAATTATACGATATATCAAATATTATATTTAATCGTGGGTGGGGCAACATGATGTTCAATAATGGACCCATTAGTGCGAACAATTAATTGTAACAGCGATGACGTCGTGACATTACTAGTATTAACAATGCGATATTGTACAATGTACTCCTTTTTCTGTAGCTCCTGAAACAGGTGAAACAGGAGAAACAGACTGTGCAACTTCACCGAGTGGATTATATCGCAATCCGAACGACTGCAATAAATACATACAATGTGCTAATGGATACCGTTATGACAGAAACTGCGGTCCGGGCACTGTATTCAATCCACAGTGCACTTGTTGTGACTGGGCATACAATGTCGATGGATGTAACTGAATTATGACGGATGACTATATACTATCATTATAAAGAATAATCACCTATTAATCATATCAATAAATGTTACTAGAACTAATATGTATCTAATGGTCTCTATTACTAAAATCGACATTACTATGCATGTATGGCTTAATTTGAAACAAGCGATAAACCAGGGTACGGGTTGTAACTCTATTAAACAAATGATAT